GAGACTCTGTGTTGCACAGAAAGTCAGTGATGGTCACTCCAAGAACACAAGGTTTGTTTGTTAGTTTGTGGGGAGAGTGCCAGTTTTTTATCACTTTGCATTTTGCTGACTTCCACTTTAAAAAGATGCTGTCCCCAGAGTCTCAAACCTAGTGAGTCATGGAATACAGAAAAGTGTGAGCTAGAGCTAAGCAGCCTGACTTTCTTTTGTGCAGCCAGTTGAATTTGCGTTTCTTAAATCGCACCTCTATCTCCAGCTGTGAAGTTGAGACATCTGATTTGAAAAATGCATTTATAAATGGAAATAATAAAAACAAGTCCCTTGCTAATGCTGTGTTTTTGTTTTTGTCTCCTTCTTTCTCTAGCATGAAAGACTTTCTAGGTAAGAACTTTCCCTATTTTATATGCATGCTTAATACTTGTGAGTAAATGCATTTCTAACTAAATTTAGCTTGAAATAGTTTAGTAATGTTTCTGCATCCTCTCCTTCCTTTTCATTTCCACAGCCACCACGATAATTCAGATGTTTATTATCTCCCTCTAAAGTAATGCAATATAGCTTTTCAACCCACCTTCCTGCCTCCAGATTCTCCCCTTTCCAGTTCATCTTGTATAATTCCACTGGATTAATCTTTCCGAAGCACCAGTATACCACACCCCATGCCAGGAGCTAGGGAAACAAAGTGAATTAGATACTATCCTTGCCTTCAAGTAGCTTACAAATGACTGGAGAGACAGGTAATTTCAATAGAATGTGGTAAGTGCCAAAACAGTTGTCTGGACAGGTATTATAAGCACTGAGGAGAGGCAATTAACTTAATCTGATAGTTCGGGGAGGGCTTTATTGTAGATTAGCTATCAGAATTGAGATTGAGGTTAGACACTGTCATTTAATAGTCGATCCAACACAACACCTGTGCCGAGATGGTGCTCAGTAATAATTTGTTGAATGAACTGAAGACCTGTTTGGCACTTGCCAAAAAATTAAGGAGGAATTTCAGACTTTCATATAGTTTTGGGGGATGACCCTCTGTAATGTTTCACTTACTGTCCAAGGGTACAAAACTGATCCTCATGAAGAATAAAATCATAGAGACTATGGAGCCAAAAGTTGAAATCTCTCCTTTGATGGAGAAATTGAGAAGAGATTGGGGGGAAGATGTAGTTATGGCATAGCGTAGGGCAAGTGAGTCTCCTCCTCTTATAATTTGTTTGGTAATTGAGCTGATTCCACCTTACTAACATACTCTAAAATTTACAAGCTTGCATGTATTCTTCCTCTGCTTACCCTCCCACCAGGCACCCAGCTGGGATAAATAATTTACTTCTAACATAGCAGAAAATTTCTTAGTTTTGCAAAATTGGTACAGAGTGGTATTTGCTATAGTTAATCTTTCGTGAACTTTTTTACATTATAATGGTCATTTGTGAAAGGAGACTTTCCCCACAGACTTCATAATTTGCTGTAAAGCTGTAGTGACTAAAACAGTGAGGTACTAGTTAAAGAATAAACAAAGAGATGGATAGAAAACCCCTCAAAAAAGTTATGTATAAAAGATGACTTTTTGACTCAGTGGGGAAAAGGATTGTTCAGTAAGTGATAATTGGGACAATTGACTGTCTGCTTGGGAAAATAGAGCCTTCCCTCCAGCCGTACAAAAAAATAGATTACAGATGGATTGCAGCTGTTAAGAGAAAAACGTTTTACCACAAAAATAGTAGAAGAGAATATTTTAATCTTTATATAGGAAACACCTTTCCAAACATGATACCATAAAGGTAAAAATTGTCAAATTTAAATTATATAAAATTTAAAATCTCTGCTAGTAAAAGATACCATGAAGAGAGACAAAAAAGTAAAGTGGGAAAAATATCTGCAACCTATGTTAAACCAAAAAAAACAAACCTGTTGCCATTGAATCAATTCCGACCCATAGCAACCCTATAGGACAGAGTAGAGCTGCCATAGGGTTTCCAAGGAGTGGCTGGTGGATTCAAACTGCCAACCTTTTGGTTAGCAGCTGAGGTCTTCACCACTGTGCCACCAGGACTCTGCAACCTGTGTTATCCCATTGACCAAACCCATTGCTGTCGAGTCAATTCCAACTCATAGTGACCCTCTAGGACAGAGTAGAACTGCTCCACATGATTTCCAAGGAGCGCGTGGTGGATTCGTACTGCCAGCCTTTTGGATAGCAGCCGTAGCACTTACCCACTACACCACCAGGGTTTTCAACCTATGTTAGACGGTCGTAAAGGTCCTGCTATGTAATAGGCTCCCCTGACACAACAAGAAACGGGTGATTACCCCACTGGACAAAGGCTATGAATAAACAATTCAGAAACAAAGAAGTATAAATAACCAAAGATGTTGAACTCACTAATGATTTAAAAATATTAAAATTAATGACAATAAGATATTATATTTCTTGTAGTGGATTGGAAAGGATTAAGCCTCTCTGGAAGGCAGTATGGCTATATATATCAACATTTAAAATATATTTACTCCTTGAACGAGCAATTCAACTTCTAAGATTTTATTCTAAGGAAATAATTGGACAAATGCATAAGATTTATAGACAAGTCTGCTCATTGTAGCATTGTTTATAAGTAGCTAAAAATTTTGAAACAATATCAAGGTCTATCAATAGAGGATTAGTTAGATAAATTATCATACAACCACACAATGGAAGACTGTGCAGTCATTTTTAAAAAATAAGACAAATCTCTTTACTTCCATGGTAAGATGCTCACAATCATAGTGATAAGTGTAGAGGGGAGGAGGAGCTAGACAACAATACGTATTATCTGATTTTATTTATATAAATATATATTTTAACATATTTATCTATGTGTTTTAGATCCTGCAAAGATAGGAACTAAACTGTTAACTGTGGTTATTTCTTGGGCAGGAGCATATGATGACTTTCCCTTTCTACTTCAGATGTTTCAGTACTCCTTAAATTGTTTTACAAACATGTATTGCTTTTGTAATCAGGAAAATGAAGAAAGAGATTTCTATTTACAAAAACAAGAGAGAGAGAATGCTGTGGGACTCAGCATCTCCGTAAGAGAAGAGTGACCACTAATGTCATTAGATGCCAGTTACCTTGCCTCTCCCCTTTCTGTGTCTACCTCTTCTAGTGCTCATTTTGGTCCCCCCACTGCCCCAACTTTGGCAATGTCTACCAAAGAGACATCAGATGAAAGTTCCACAGCTGAGCCTCGTGAGACCATCCTAGTCCCAGGTGCTGGAACCCTGCAGGGTTGGTTTGTACGCAGCAGCTTCCTGTATGCCACATTTTAGTCTGAAAAGAGTAAAGCCTGAGAAAAGGATAATTCAGTGTTTAGGATCAGGATGATAGTTGTACGTTTAAACAAGCTTCAGTTTTCAGGTAGTCAGCTGAGAGACCATTCCCCTGATGAACTTACTGATACTAGAAATAAAACCACCATCAACTCTAGAGTGTTGCTCAATTGCTGGAAGATATAGAAATCCTAACCACAGGCATAGCAGTCTCCGTGTGGAATATGGATAAGAAAGAAGAAAACTAGCTATTTTGGCACTGTGATGGTCCCCCTGCAATGTTTGGGATCCCAGCAAACCTGCAGTACATCTAAAGAGTGTGCATACGGTGCCCCCCCATCTCCATTCCTCCCGCATTCAACATCCAGCTCAGATCTCCAAGTCCATATGTTTCTGATTCATTAACAGTTCATTGGAATCATTTTCCAAGAGCCATTGAGGTCCAAGAAACTTTTGCTCTTAAAACACACTGTGTTGAGGGAAACTGCTCAAACCTAAACTAATTTGAAAAGCTCTAAGATTTAAGTCAGCACATGGATCCAAACCACCACCAATTTTTCAAGTAAGCTCCGTTCTTGGCAAATGACAGCCTCCTTCTCCACGCTCGCCTGCGCAGCTTAGCCGTGAGGTCCCCAAATGCTGCTGAGAGATTCAAGGAAGGAATGCGTGCCTTGTTTCTGCCCAGGACTCTCAAGTGCTTCTTAGAGAAGCCACAGACTACCCTTAAGTATTACTTTTACCCACTTCTTTGTTCTCAATACCAATTTTTACCTCTTATTTCATTTCCCACAGGTTGGAATCAGGAGGCAGCAATCCTACAAGCAGCGATTCCTATGACCGAGCCTCAGCAAGAGCTCGGCGGGAGGCCCGTCTGGCCAGCCTGACCAGCCGGGTGGAAGAGGACAGCAACAAGGATTATAAAAGAGTAGGGCCCCTTTTTCGTTTTCCTACTTTTGGGTTACAGTATGGAAACCTCTCAGCCTTTTCCACCAGTATAGAAAAAGGAGTGCAGTTCTGCTGAAGCCAAAGAACAGGCACCTAAGTGATAAATAGCAACAACTAATTCCTTGCAAGTTTCCTGGTTTACCTCTTATCCACCAGCTAAATAAAGGTGCCTTTGTGTATTGTTCTTAGTGCAGTGAATATATGCCTTAGAATGTGATATTTAGAGGTGTTGGAAAAAGCAAGGAATTAAGAATTGCAAAAAAGGGAAATAAAAGTAATGCTGTCTGTGTGAGTGAGCCCCTGAGAATCATTTCGTAGACCCTGTTGTTTTTAACAAACATATGCTTTTAATAAGGTCTTGTGAATATCAACTAAATACTTCTTGGTGGTGGCAAAATAATAATAATAATCTGGGTTTGGATAAGGTTTAAGTCACTTTGCAGTTTATTTCCTGTGGTTCTTGCCGAAGAGTACCCAGCTCCAAGGGCAGGCTTGTAAACCCTCTTTTTCAGGTGCTTGAAATACCAGGAAAAAAAAATGTTTTTGTTAGGAAAACATTCGTTTTGTTAATGTTTTCTTAAGCAGAACTAACATACCCACTAGTCTGGCTCAAAAAGATAATTCTCTTTGATATGGCTGCATGTGAGCCACACTTTTAATCACTGCAAATGCCATGTAAGAGAAAACAGAATGACTGCTTTTTCCCCCACAATTAACATTGTGGAAGTTATTGTCCTCTGTGTGTTCAGCATCTGGGACTTTTAAGAAGCTAGAGGCCAGTAGGCTGAATGCATTCTGTTCCCTAGACCTTGCATCTTCACCTTCTACAACACAATGGTGGCTTGGACCAGAGAGCCTGAGGCATTCTCATATGATGAAAAGATGTGAGTTCTAATTCTGGGAGCCGAGCCTTGTAGGTGACCTGATTCTCTCTTTCCCTTCCTGCCAGCTCTACGAGAGTGCCCTAACCGAAAACCAAAAACTGAAAACAAAACTTCAGGAGGCCCAGCTAGAGTTAGCAGATGTAAAATCCAAGCTTGAGAAGATGGCCCAGGTAAGGGGGAAGAGGAGGAGAAAAGATGCTGAGGCAGGGCTTAGGGTGTCAGGGGGCAAACTAAACTCGGGAGCTAGAGACGGGGAGGGAGACAGTCGAGAGCGGCTCTCCTCAGATGGTGAGATATAAGCCTCTTAGATCCTGATTTGATTTTAGGACCCAGTCAATTAGTGTTTAACTTAAACTGAAAATTGATAGTTCAGTGGACAACTCCTGATGGTCCAAGTGCTGATAATTAATAAGGATTATCTCCTTACCAAGTACCGTACTCCCCCACTGCGGAGGAAGTCCTGGATGGTTTCTCCTAAGTCGTTCTTCATGTTTCAGCTCAGTGTATCTGTACGTCGCCACTGGAGAAGGATAAGCAAGACACTGCTAAGCCTAGTACAGAGAGGCCCGGAGCAATGAGTGGTTTGCTTAGAGCATGTAACAAATCAAGGGTAAAGGTGGTGCAATAACATAGGCTTAAGTCCCAAAGCAGATTCTGTCCATTGCATATGGTGCCTCCGCAAGCCACCACTGTCTTTCAGCTTCGGAGTAAGGAACCTTAGTGGCCGAAAGACAGATAAACCATTTCCTCTTACCACCAGGTCAGATTTAATTAGATGATGCTTTAGAGGATGCTGGAAGTAATAGCCTCATCTCCTGTGAAACAAACCCTGCAGCCAAAAGCTAAAGGAAGTGCTATCTTAGGTTATTGCTGAGTTAACAGGAAACCTATTGAGTTATTGCCGTCCTGAAATGCCTGGGAACTAAGAATTCTGAAAGCTAAATGAGGTAAAAATGACTCTACTGAGAGGACATGGAATGAAAACCAGAGGCGGCTCGTTAGTTCTGGCTGTATGATATAATCCAAAGGCAAAGGCTAAGTTGCTCGGGTTGTGCAGCACCAAGTACATTGGGTTTTGGAGGGCAAAGGGTTGAGTACACTCTGAACATGTTGTTGTTGCAACCTCTCTGGAATGGGAAGAGCCAGGGAGTGCCAGCACTTGAAAGATAGCACCATAGAGCTGCATGGAATCCCAGCAAGACACCCAGGACACCTACACTTTCTGGAGAAGGCTTGGCCAGGCACAGAATGGATGGCCTGCCCTGTGAGCTTGCCTGTCAGTTTGGAAGAGGCATTGCCTTCTGCCTGGTTGTAGTAGTTGAACATGGCTCTTTGACTGGGAATTTCTGAGATCTACGGTAACACAGACAGATAACAACTGGGCTTAAAGTGATTTAGTGAAACAAGAAAAGTAGGTCACTCAATCTAAAATAAAAACACTCACACACTCACTTAGGTATAACTGCCATAAGATAGGAGGATGGACCCAAGGTCTCTTGGTCCCAACATTACTGAGCCAGGCAGAATGTCTTATTCACAGTTTACCAGTTGACGGCGAACAGTTCCAGCTCACATTGACCCCATGTGTGTCAGAGTAGAACTGTGCTCCATAGAGTTTTCAATGGGTAATTTTTCTAAAGTAGATCACCAGGCCTTTCTTCTGAGGCACCTCAGGTGGACTCAGACCTCCGATTTTTCTATTAGCAGCCAAGAGCTTTAACCATTTACATCACCCAGGGGTTCCTATTCACAGCTGTTGTGTGCCATCCAGTCAATTCCGACTCATAGCGACCCCATATGAGAGAGTAGAACTGCCCACAGGGTTTCCTAGACAATAATCCTTATGGGAGCAGATCGCCAGGTCTTTTCTCCTGTGGGGTGGCTGGTGGGTTCGAACTGCTGACCTTTTTTGGTTAGCAGCTGAGTGCTATTCACAGTAAAACCAAAAACCTGTTGCCGTCGAGTTGATTCAGACTCATTGTGACCCTATAGGACAGAGTAGAACTGCCCCATAGAGTTTCCAAGTAGACCCTCAGAAAATCTCTGAGGCTAATTTTGAATTTTGAATAGTGCCACATATTGGCAATGATACAGAGGTTATGTTGGTTCTCGTTAGTTATTACTGGGGCTGTTTTACAGAAATTGAGGAGCAGCCATGTAAGGAACCCAGTCTTACCTTCCCGCTTGCTCCCCACTGTCTCCTCAGAAGCTTCTGACAGCTAGCTTGTTTCCTGACCTTTAGGGGTTCTCGGCTCTTCCGCCAGCCCGTGCTCAGAGTGGTGAGCAACTAACAAGCCGCTGACATTGACTTGCACCAAGGGCACTGAAAATAGAAGCAGCCTTTCCAGCCATGGGGAGAAGCATTTACTTCCAGCCATCCGCTTTGCTGGGTGCATCGGAATATACTTGATTTTGCCAAATACAAGTTATTAAAATTCAGAAGAAATGCTGTGCTACAAACCTAGTCTCTGCTATTTACCAAACATGGAGTTTTTGGCAGGGCAGTGGAGGGAGGGCCTGTCAGCCTCACACATTTGTGTGGAGATGGTTACCACATGGACACACATATTGTTTTTATATAAAAGGTCCACCCATACTCTAAGGGGGTTAAAAACCAAAAAAAAAAAAAGAAAAGCTGGTTATTCTTTTTATAAGTGAACCTTGAAAATGGTGAAATCATCACAGCTTCTTGGGCTTAGGAAAGAGAGACTCATGGGGATATGAGCAAGCTACAGGATCTACTTCTGCATTTTTTCTTTGCCTTCCGCTTTGTGGTAGATGTGGTGTAAAGGCAGATGGCCATGACCTTCAGAACAGAAGGTGAAAGCCCAGGACAGGAGCCAGAATTCCAAGTTTTACTGTTAGTCCTGGCTATTCCTTATTTAAAAAACAAAACAAAAAAACCTCTGCAAGAAGACCAGCATAGTTTCTGTGTTTATTAAATGTTGTCTGTGCCTGACACTAGGCATAATAAAATTAGAATAAAAATAATTACCCCATGTTTATTAAATGCCTTTTGAATGTAAGAAATTCTGCTCAGTTCTGTAATGCTAAGTCCAAAAGGGACTTGAGGATTTATTTCCATTCCCCTGCTTAAGGCAGGGTCATAACCTGAGGTTTATTCTACTTTTTAGCTATGGTGGCTAAATCTTTTTAGCTCCTCTACAAAATTTAGTTTAAATTGAAAGTTGAAGAGGATCTAAAATAAACTTTCTAACTTTCTTTTAAGTTGCACGATCTTGTATTCAAATAAAATCTTACCTTACCTGGAAACCCAATATATAAAACAGATGAAAATGGAACTACTCTGTTCAAGCCAGGGTAGATGCTATGAATGGGCCCCTTAGAACCCCAGGGAGCCTACCCTCATGTGAAAACCACTTCTGTGAAACAGAAACAGCCTCAGTTCCCCAGACAAAGACTAGGGGGAGAGGAAGTCTGTAGAAGAGTACCATGGGTACCCTCTGAACATGAACCCCAAATCCATGGGGCCTGAGACATTCCAGCTCAGGAGTTCCTGGCCTTTTAAAGAAGAAAAGCCACTTTTCATTTCCTCTAGGTTTTGAGAGGTGTAGAGAGGTAGTTGACATTTAGCAAATTGTGGGTGTGTGGGTGTGTGGGTGGGTGTATGTGTGTGTGGGTGGGTGTGTGTGCTGGGAGTGATATCTTTGTATGTGTTTGAAATTTCAGGGAACAGCACTTAACCTGCCTTCCCTCCCCAGTGGGAATTCAGCCAGCTTCAGAGCGGCAGATAATGTTAGGCTTACAGAGCTGTGAGAGTCTGTTTGCTCAGGACCCCTGCTGTATGAAAGCCCAACGCCCTGCTGTCTGTTTCTGGATGTCTGATGGTGAAGCTGGACAGACTGGGCTTTCCACTGGCCCGGAGACAACTTAAGTAACAACTGTTTTCCTTCCGTTTGCACCAGCAGAAACAAGAGAAGACCTCTGACCGGTCATCGATGCTGGAGATGGAGAAGCGGGTATGTGTGTGTCTCTTTCCCCCTTTTCACCTCCTCTTCTCTTCTGACTTTCCCGGACTTTGTTGTTCATGCCAATAGAAAAAGTTCATCTTAGAAGGTGGGAGTTCTGCCACATTCCATTCCCAGCTTGATAATAAATTCTTTTTGTCTGACTCTGGGCAGCAGTTTGATTGTGAGTCCTTTTGGCATCCTTGGATGGTCAGGACTTTTCACATATTCCAGTCTTGGGTGGGAAGGGTCCTTGGAAGGTCATCTCATACATTGTTCTGCCTCCTGCACACATGCACACACCCCAAATATACTTGGGTTTACCGTAAATCATCACATGCACACCCAAGTCCGAGACCTCTCTGCCCTTCCCGTCACCTTGAACAGAAAGGAAGTTTCCGCAGGACCCTCTGCCATCGGTTTAGGTTTACGTCTTGTGACTTGAAACATGAGCCAGTAGAGACTTTTACTCACTCTGACTGATGGGAGGATTTCTGGTTCAGTTGCTGACCTCTTCCAACTGCATTCAGAGTATTTTTCTGGGAGTTGACATTCTTTGATTGTGAAAATGTGATTAGATTTATTGATGAACCCTAGCTTGAATTTGACCCTAGGAATATAATGTGTTCCCATCTCTCCTGTTATTGTCTGTTTAATTTGGAAAGCAGCTTAGTTTTATATTTTATTTCCTTGGCCTGTAACCAAACCTCCTTGGTATCTCATCTAATCAAGGAGTACTCTTTGAGTTCAGGCTATATCAGAACTCAATTGCTGGGAGAGAGAAATAGATTAGGGGGAGAGGTGCTGTTTCTTCATAGACAGCGATGTCTATTTCCCTGCTCACCATCTGCTCCTCCTCTTGAGAGAAGCAGTTCCCTAGGAATTTAGGGGGAGCATTACTGAAGATCATGATGCCTTTTTGGTCACTGCAGTCATTTGAAATTCCATGAAGTCTTTAACTCAACAGAATAGCTTAGGGTGCCCTGGCCTTATCCCGTTTGCATATTAACAAGTCATTTCCCCATATATCTTCTGATTTTCTGAGAGGAGACTTAGATAATGTAATATTTATCCGTGAAGTAGCTCCAGAAGTGGCAGGATCAGACAGTGCTCAGATCGCCTGGGTAAAGTTTGCCTGAGTCAGTAGACAAATGCTTTGACCGTGAAGCTGCTGATCACATGGCAGCTGGGAGACAGCATTTTGACTCTCTTCTAAAGCCGTTAGATGCTTTAACAGTCTCATTGTTTCTAAACAGGAGAAGAGAGCCTTGGAGCGGAAAATGTCAGAAATGGAGGAGGAGATGAAGGTATGAAGAGATTTTCTTTCTCTCTTTGTACACCTGCCCTCTGAATGCCTGCCATGACTGGATATTTGAGCATTGGTCTGCCCCCTCCAAATTTTACTGCAAACTCACCACCCTCAAGACGAGATGATGTGTGAAGAGGGGATGAGCGCCTCTCCTCACCATTTCATAGGTCTCTCAGCTCACACAACATCCACTGTGGCTGCCTCAGAGCCCTTCTAGGAACAAGTGTAGCTTTAAGGGATTTAAAGGGAAGTCTCCAGCAGGCTGGAGACAAACCTGAGATGAACTTTTAAGGTTTTTCCAAGCAGTGCTCCACCCTCATGGGACTGATCTCAGCTCTGCGGAGCCCATTAGGTGCCTGGGGAAACCTGATCAGGACCAGAGGCTTTCCTCCCTGACGCCCTTCCCTGTCCCAGCCCCTTGATGGAAAGAATACAGTTGGAGTCATTCTGCAGCAGAATGAAGATTTATGCATGTGTTGACTGCCTGCCTGGTCCTATCCCCTGAAATACTCAGGAATGTCTGCCACTCTCCCACTGGAACAATCTCAGGCCTCCGGATGTACTTCATGGCCTGCTGCCTTCTCTCTTCCTCACCGTGACCCCTGACCCCACCTCATTAGCCATTTTAATGGATGACTGCCAACCTGGGCAGTTTTGAGTGCTAAGAACTGGAAATCTAACCAAAATATGGAGCTGCTCAGCGTGGCTACCTGGGTGTGATTTGGGAGCATCTGAGCCCTACAGTGCCTGATGCCCCATGCCCACAGTCATTTAGCACTCACTCAGCTTTTTCTCTTTCTTCAAGGGTTTTATTTTAGTGGATATATGATGTTCATCTGGTGAAACATGGGATTCTCCACCTGGGAAACAGAAGCTCAGGGACAGGATTCGGTAGATCCCCAGGTCTCTTTCTGTGAGCAAGCATCCCTAATATGCAGCTGGAGACTTTGGGAGAGATGTTTATTGTTCCAGTAGCCTGAAAAGGATGGTTCTTTACTGATAGAACTTTCCGGACCTGACAGGGTCATTGTTTACACAAGATTCAATGCTCGCAAGTCTGTTACTCTCTATATTTCCAGAAGGAGGGAGAAATGCCAAGCCCTGCCCCTACATTCCTTAACCACCATAACTGATAGCAGCCACATAGAATTTCTAGTAGTACCTATTTACATCTCAAACAGTGCAACTTTAAATTTTCCAAGTTAATTCAGAACAGAAATAGTAAGTGGTTGATTCTCCTGAGATGATGAAAAACAGTATGACCTAAACCATTAAGCTTCTCCATCTTCTGGTTTTTCCAGACCCACCTCACCTACCACACGGAAGCATTCTCTCCCATTTAGAGCAGTATGTTAGTAGAGCTAAACAGTTCTTGATGAATGAATATCCTCAGCCCTTGCTTGCATGGGGCCTTTTCCTGTGTTTGAAACCCCCTGAGTTATACCATCTGTACTCTGCTGTTAGGCAGCTGTTGGTGACGCCCATTAAGAAATGGTCTAAATGCTGATGAGGAGCATGTAAATGAGGCCAAAGCAGGTGCCCTCCAATGAGTAGCCAGGAGCCCAAAGCCATCCCACCAGTCCTGGAATTCTGTATCACATCCACTCAGGCTCACACACACAGACCCAGAAAGTGTCCAAAGGTGGAGAAATTACATTCCTTCTTTATTTCTATTCCAGGTCTAAATTGGCAAATATAGGAGCCCCTTAAGTAGGGCTGTGGGTTGAAGAGTTACATATTTCTGTCTCTCTCTTTGTCCAATCAGGCTATGGTTTCCTAAACTAGGTCATGAGTTCCTTCCTTTCCTCAATAGAGATTACATTACATAAGGGTGTGTGCTCTCCCCAGCCATCAGCCATTTGCCAGCCAACTTCAAAATCAGTTCTTTTGAATTATCAAGTGGAGCCAGATCAAGACTGGTTAGTCCCCAAGCCAGTAGAGTAGGTAAGCTGATTTGACACTGATTTTTTAGTTTAAAAAGATCCACCCATTCAGTCAGTTGCCATTATTCTCCATTACCGATTACAAAGCAAATGGAGAAGAAATCCTGCAAGCTCTAAAGCCCCTAAAGACCATTTGCTCAAATCAAAGCCTTAATACCAGGTTTGTAAAGTGCCCAGCGCCCCCTAGAAGACTAGGGGGAGGAGCGTCAGCGCCTCTCCAGTCACGCCAATTTAGGTTTGTATATTTGGAGTTTTAATGCATTTCTTGAGAGGCAAAGCTTCAAATATACAGATACAAACATCATAAAATTGGTGCGACTAACCCTAAAGGAGTCTAAGAAGATGCTTGGTTAGCTGTCCAGCTCCTCAATGCAGACAACAGTTTACGGTGAAGAACGTCTCTGGAAGGATTGGTAGCCAGAATCTGTGTGTACTAGGTGAGCAGCCAGCAGAACAGATGACTGTCTTGTCAGTCTGGAGCAGCAGAGCTTGGGGCCAGTGTCCCCGTGCTGGTTGTGTATGCAGTTTATAACAAACTCCCCCGCCTTTTTGGAACAATCAGTAGGGAGCAATTTGAAGATCCAGTAGGTGCTCAAAGATAGAAAGCGAGGCTAGTGCTGTCCACAGGCTGTGGGCTGGGATCAGAAAGTGAAATGGGGGCCCTGAGATGGGCTCACCCACGTGGGTGTGGGGCTCTGTGGTTGTGACGTGGGTTGTGCCTTTCTGGCTTTTACCTGGAAAGGTAAGTATTTATGAATTCCCCCAGGAGAAACTCCACCCAGATCCTGGATTGGAGTGGGAGGATATGTCAACCTCTGGCAGGCGTGCATGTCAGTGTGAGCCCTGCTAGGTCTGTCGCTGGTCTTGGGATGTGCCCACATCAGACCTGATTACTTCTCCCCAACATCCTCCATTCAGCATCTGCCTCATTGCCAGATCCTTCCTTTCCCAGGTCCTTGCATGGGCGGGACCCAGCAGCCAATCCCTTTTTAGCTTGGTCTTGGAATTTTTATTTTATTTACTCTGGAAATATCGCTAGCCTGATCCTGCCCCTAAACTCTGCCCTTGCCCACCCTGCTCTGTGCCCTGCCCCCTTCTTCATCCCTTTGCCACTCCTGTCTTCAGTACTGTTTCCTATAGAACATTCCACCAGATTGTTTCCTGCCTCTCTCCCTCATGCTGCTAACTTCCAAAGTCTTCCGCTTCAGTCAGTTTGCATTCACATGTTAGATTGAGTCTCTTTCATAGCTCATGTTTTAATATTATTCTGTGAGGCAGGGACCACTTTGTATAATGACAATGATTTTGTTGAAAGCTCTGGCCCAAGGTAAACACTAAAAAAGGGTGATTGCCAGGGACTTTCCTTTGGTCTGGAAATTTGGCCCCTGCCCATCTCTTTAAATATTTCCCTATGCTGCACCATGATCTCTGTCCTCTGTCCTGCCATGGCTGAGATGCATGCAGTGGGCAAGCCAGGCCCTACCCTCTAGTGGTTACATTGCCCAACCTTTTCTGCAAAGTGACCATTCTCCCTCGATGGGGAAAGAGAGAATTCAACAGTTTGTCTCCACTTGTTTTTTCCTTTTCACTGTTTTTCCCCTCATACTACCTTTCAGTTTCTTGCTTCTTCACACCTAAACAATTCTAACGTCACTAATCTTCCGTTCCTGTCATTCTCATCCATGAAAGTATGAGAGACTTTTCTCTGGTACCTGGCAACTTTTTATAGTTATTATAACCTACAGGATTGTCCACCCTCACCTATAAAACCCCATTCACGTAACAAAATCATTTCCCTCCTCTCAAAGAGCTCATTGTCTCAGTTTCCGGGTCAATGCAGATGGCCACTTATGAAGGACAATAGAGCAGGCAGGCTGGGAAATAATTCCATTGAATAAAGTCTTTGATCCCTTGTGGGATAAGAAGCATTAGGAAGACTTTCTGTGGGCTGGTTATTCTGTTCCACTGCAACACTGACATATATTAAGAGCTGGGCTAGCACATTGATCCAATGAATTCTGTTTCGTTGGACATTTATGATGTCTACCTTTTGTGCACGGTTCTAATTTCCAGACTGTGAGTCTTTTTGTGAACACCTTTAAGCAGCCCTCGGCCTCTGAGACAGAGCGAGCGCAGTTAGCTATGAATTTAGTGATGCAGATGATCCTACGGCACGTCAGAGGCAAGTTAGCAGTCCTTGGGCCACGAACGAGCCCTCTGGACTGCAGAGGGGGAACCAGCAGGCTAATGAAGCTTCTTACTAAGTGGTTAGCGGGCCATCCGGAGAGCCGCCAGTGCTTGTATTATTTTGGTGTGCATCACTTCAACCTTCTAAATAGTACATGCCCCCATATGAAGATATTTAAACAGCAGACCCCTCTTATTTTTCTTCTTTTTATTTTTAACAATGAAAAATAAACACCATAAGAGGAGGACCTAGAAAGAAAACAGGTGGAATAGGGGATCAGATATGGGGGAAAGATGAGAGACCGGGAGAGAAAAGGACGGCAGCTGGATTTAGGAGCACCCTGAGTCCTCAGCTCCAATCCCAGCAATGATGAGAAGGGTCCCTGAGGCTATGGCTTAACCACGTAACTTCAGTTCAGAAGGCCCCCAGCCACATGGCGGGCTGTCATTTCCCAAAGCAATCCAGATGTGCTTTTTGAGCTGCTCAGTGGTTGTACTGATATGGTGACCTTCAGCATATTCAGACCTTAGCCAAGAATCACAGACACAGCTCTCCCCTCTCGGTGCTTTTCTCCATCCTTCCCTCCCAGTCACTGTCATCAGCCTGCCTTTCTCAGTTCCTTGCTTGCATGCAAACTAAAAACAAAAACAAAAAGTCACGTGATTTCTTTGTCCTACTTTTATCTCCTCTGGTCTGTCTTGTCTGTCTGTCTTGTCTGTCTTTTCCCTCCACGTCTCACTCTCTACAGAACCTCCACCAGCTAAAACAGATTCAGACCTTGAAGCAGATGAACGAGCAACTGCAGGCTGAAAACAGGGCCCTGACCCGAGTGGTGGCCAGACTCTCGGAGTCCGTGGAGTCCTCGGAAACCCACGACCTCTAGCCCCTGCCCCTCCTCTCCACCTCACTTCCCTCCTCCACTGCTCCAGGCAGGTTCACGCCTCGTGTTGGTCTCAGGTGCTCTGTGCTCAGCCCCGTTCCACCAGGGCCTCCACAGGCAGGTTCCTCTAGAGGTTGGTCATATGGAGATGGAAGGAGCCAGGGCTGAGACCATAAGCTGGGATTTAACATCCTAGGTCAAGGGCAGCAGTAGGGGAGACCTCAGCTGGGCTAGCAGTGTATTTGGGAAGATGACCACACTACCTTCTCTTCCCTTGGAAACTGAGTGTGTATTTGCTCACTCTGTTACGTGTGCACATAGGCATACACGGTGGGTATGTATGCACATGCCTGTGTACATGTGCAAAAACCAAACCCATTGCTGTCGAGTTGCAGCCAACTCATAGCGACCCTGTAGGACAGAGTAGAACTGCCCGGTAGGGTTTCCAAGGTGGGTTCAAACTGCTGACCTTTTGGTTAGCAGCCAAACGCTTAATCACTGTGCCACCAGGACCCCCGTGTATGTATATGCACACGCAATTCTTTGGTGGGGTCGTTGCAAAACTGAGATAGTGCTTTCTCAGTCAACAGCGATGCAAGCACAACCTGGTCCCTGGAGCATTTGGGTTTGGTCCTGGACTCCAAATTGTGGGTTGGGCCTGGGGTTACCTAGGCTAGAAGCTCTCAACCCTGGCTGCACGTTAGAAGCACCTGGGAGCTTGAAACAACATCCCAGTGCCTGTGCCCACCCCCCAAAATCAGATTGAAATGGCCTCAGTTGAGACCCAGGCATCAGTATTTATTCAGAGCTCCCTGTTGATTCTTCTGTGCCAGGGTTGCGAACCACTGCCCTTTGGATGCCAGAGATCTGAATGTCCACGTCTGACAGCCTTGCTGGATGGGGAGGACTAGGACCGAAGGCTAGCGCTGTTCTGGCCCAGCTCCTACCAGCAGAAACATCCTCCTCCCCACCGTGTGAGGAGACCTGGATGAGCAGTCTTTGCCTCCTTCCCATAGTCAGCTTTGCTTTCCTGTCCCTCCTCAGGAGGCATTGCTCTCGTCCCTGTCACAAATCTCTGGGCCCTGGGTATGTTTCCCCTGTGAGTATGTGAGCTGTGAGGCAGAACACAGCCTGGATAAATAAGACCCTCACACAGCCAGGCCCCCCGGATGGAGCTGGCTTTGCAAAGGAAGTGACAGGCGTTGGAGCAGAGAGCAGGGATTTGCAGCGTGTGAGTAAACGAAGCCTTTCTCTGCTGTGGGTCTGAGAGACAGGCTCATAGATCACTTGTTTTCCCATCTCAGGACGGTGTGATGGGGTCACCACTGCTGAGCAGTTTCTCTCTCTGAAATGAGTTTTTAATTTTCAGCACCAGTCTAATTGGTCCTGACCGGGGCCCATTCCTTTTTCTGCCTGTTTGCGTTTGCCTTGGGGGTCAGTAGCTGACAATGAATACCCACTAGATCTGAAGCACCCGAATTACCGTGCGGGCTGAGCTAATAGCCTGCTGCAGATGCTATCACAAGCAGGAAGAGACATGTCACTGTGGCCTGGCTCCAGCAAGCAACTCCACCACCCTCCTCAGTGAGTGCCGCAGTTAGGGCCAAACTCGGCACCCTAAAATAAGCCCCAAGATGCCTGGGAAATTTGAGTTGGGGTGAGCTAGGGCGCCCCAAAAGATATCCCAGTTATTTTTAGTTTCTCTCTTTGTGCAAGATACTATAGGATCTGGGGCAAAACTAGATCTGAGGCCTTCAGTAATTAATAACCGTGATAACAGTTGTCATTTATGGAAGTCTGTGCTAAGTGCTTTATATGCTTTATCTTACATATGGAATAAACTGGGTCTCAGATTAAGTAATTTGTCGAAGGTCACTTAGAGAGTAAGTGACAGAACCAAAATTCAAACCAAATATGTTAGGTTCCAGAGCCCAAGCACTTAACCACTGTGATGTAAGCTGTGTGCGTAGTTGGCATAGAGTCTGAGCCGTTTGTTAAGCGTACAGCCTAAACAACTCAAGAAGGATCTGTTGAGCCACTACAGTGTGCCCCAGCATGACTGCTGAGGGATGCAGTACAGCCTTCTGCTTTCTCAGTGCTCTGACTTCCCTGCTGAAGGTTAACTTCCAAAGAGCCACTTACCTGCCACCCGATTTTGCTGCTGTAAAGGAAGCCACTGCCTGGTACATGATCCTTCGTGTCACGGGTCAGCAAGCTCTGGCCCACCGGTAACACCTGTGAGCCATACAAATAGGTTTTTAAAAAATCAAAAGAAGAATAAAACTTTATGACACATGGAAATGATATCTGAAATTCAAATTTCAGTGTTTATAAATAAAGTTTTATTGGAACTGAGCCGTGCTCATTTGTTTCCATATTATCGTTATGTCTGTGGGTGCTTCTGCACTACAACAGCAGAGTTGAGTCACTGTGACAAAGACCTTCTGACCTGCAAAGCCTCCAGTACTCCCTATCTGGCCCTTTACAGGAAAAGCTTGCCAACCCTGCTCTAGAGAACGATGAGGTAACTAAGCCAAACTGGCAGTGTGGTCAAGAGATTTGGCCCTTTTCTTTTTTTTTTCCCCCCAAATTGTCCCCTGGAGAAATTGTCTTGTCTCTCAGTGTGTAGTGCAAGCCACATACAAACAAAATGTAAATGGGGATGCCCTTCCCACTTCCCAGGTAGTTCTGAGCAAGGCAGCTCAGGGAAGGCCCCTTCTGAGCCCCTCACCCTGTGGCTGCAGGACCCTCAGAGTCTCTTCCTCTTTAACTCACTGCTGATGAAAGGCTTGTAAGAAGTGCTACTTGAGAAAGCATCAGCTTAATTTTATTTTTCCAAGACACCTTAACATCAAACAGTAGAAAGCTGGAAATTTAAAATTAAAAAGCTGAGGTCCAGAGAGTTGAAATCATAAAGCTTTGTTAAGGCTCATGTTTGTGTAGTGTTATGCCAGATGTTCTTGTTTAATCATTCTCTAACTTAAAGTGAATCTCAGATAACACTGTTCATCCCCCCTCTCTCTTTTGAGAGTGAAGTTTATAAGGCCCCCCCTCCTTGATTTCTACATTCCATTTTTTGTACTTTTTGACACTCCCTGAAGATGTCAACTGTAGCATGTTGCAGCTGGGAAATTGCCTTGTCCAATTTTTTTTCCAAGGAATTGAGTTCTTAATGTGGAAATAAATCACCCAAGGCTCAAGGAGTTGTTTGGTACATTAAAAAAAAAAGAGGGGGGAGGGGAAGGGGAAGCAGTTCAATTCTGATTTGATGAGCTGCTAGCGGTGAAATATAATCCATTGCCATATATAGCTTCTCTCCTGCCTGTGGAACCCCATCATGGAAATACAGCTTTCAGCGTCTCACTGATACCCCAGCTGCAGGCCCCAGGATGGGGATTGGAGAGCAGATGGGAAGGTGATGCATTTTGAGGCTACCCTGGGCTGACTTTTTCTGAAAATCTTTTCATGAGTTTTGGATAGAGCACTCAGTCTGGCCCACCCGGGGTGAGCTAGGGCCTCCAAAAGATCCCAGTTATTTTTAGTTTCTCTCTTTGTGCAAGATACCATAGGATCTGGGGCAAAACTAGATCTCATGCCTTCAGTAATTAATAACCACAATAACAGCTCTCACTTACGAAAGTCTGTGCTAAGTTAGGGCGGGTGGGGGGGAGGTGTGGAGGTGTGACAGAGAGGGCAACCAGAGCGGCTTTGGTAGGGTTGAGGTAGGAGAAGCAAAGTCAAAGGGCTGAAACTTTATTTTGGTATTTTCTGGATTAAAATCTTCTTAATGAGTTCTCAGATTCCCTTGCCTGCCCTCCCACATTCAAGGGAAAACTGCTAGAGCTAGTAGGAATACTCAGTATCCCACAGCATATCGTGTATGTCAACACGCGTCCACATCTGCTACCTCCTGTGGGCCTCGCCGAGTCCCTGCTTCACGTGGGGTAGGGCAGAATTGTTGTTGTTTTATCGATGCAGAAGCGGAAACCCAGAGCGATCAAGTGATTTGCCTAAAGTAATAGGTCATGATCGACAATGCTGGTGCTAGACTTCCAGTGTTCCTGTTTTCCGCCCCCACCCCACCTCTGTTACCTTGCCAAGAAATGAAAATGAGCGACAGAGTCCAGCACACCTGGGTTCAGTGTCGGCTGCGCCATTTAATAGCTGGGTGCCTTGGATGAGTTGTGAAACCCTTTGTTTCCTCATTTGTAGGAATAAGGAAACAGCTTTATCAGGTGCTAATGAGACTGTAGAAGTGAGACCCTCTAGCACAGTGCCTTCCACAGTGTAGATGTTCAATTAATTTTTTTCTTTTCATTCCCCTGATAAAAATTCTTTGCATATCTGTGATGTGTTGCTTTCTAAGCATAATTATGTGCGTACACATACGTGTATAATTTATTTCTTCCCTGAGAGAGGAAGCAAAGATTATATTCATTAAGGTACAGTTAGATGCCGTAAGTGGGTAAGCAGAGCCAGAACTAGAGTTAAATGGGCCTCCTGACCCCTCAGCCCAGGTGACCGTTTACCAGAGGCATTGCCTGCTCCACAGGTCCTGATACCTGAGAGATTAATCAGTCAAAGGACATCTGTATTGAGGTGTGGACATAGACTTCGTAGCCTTGACGGTGAAGATGAACTTACCCTCTAACCTATACCTTTCTTGCTGCCAACAGGGCCCACCCATAAACTGTACCTTACTAACATCCCACTAGGGTTTTTCAGATGCACAACTTACCTGTCAGAGTGCCTGGTCACACATAAAGACTTGAAGGTCCAGGTGGGGCTGGGGCTGCTGCTGTTCCTTAACTCCTCAAGTTGGGCAGCACTGTGTGTAAGGTTCCAAGATGGCAGAAGTGACAGAATTGAAATCTCCGCTCCCTCCTTCCCCAAAGGCCCCTACTGCCTGGAATTACATCATCTTCCCCTAAAACTGCTGATAAGACCTCTGGGTATTGCTTGGGAACTCTCACTGGGGGGCTGGTGCTCTCTGTGCCTCACAG